TAGAAGGTGGAATGAAAAGCTAGTGAATGAACAGATGTATGGGGAAGAGGGTGGAAGAGAAGCTAAGGAGAGCTCTCATGTTTCTGGGTTGAGAAATAGATGAAACGGTGTCATTCACTAAGATCAAATAATAAGGAAGTCTAGAGACAAGGCAGACAACTACTGATGAGTTCTGTTTTGGACTCAGTTTATGGTGTCTGTAAATTTCTGTATATTTACTCTTCATGGTAAACAAGCAGCTGGCTGATGTGAATTTGAAGCTCAAGGAAGATTTAAAATACATAAATAAAAATATAAATTTAATATTTAAAAAATAACGTAAATGGTATCTGTGGCAAATGCTAATTTGTATTATTTATATACATGATCTAGATTCAGTTGATTTTCTCCATAAAAAATAAAAAATATCTATGATGATTTTTAGAATATTTTAACTGCTTCTAAAAGTATACAGTAAGGTGATTTTTTTTACAAGAAGGGTTTTTTTTTATTCTATGATAAGGATCTCCAGGGATATAAAATAATAGTTAAGAAATAAACAGTTTTCTTTAAGGCATGCCATTTTGCTTGTCTTTTAAGATAATTGTACTCATCTGCACTCTTTAATAAAAATTCTGGATTTACTTATTATAGTATTACCCAAGTGTGAACAATTGTATGCAAAATAATGGTGTGAACAATTATATACACAAGGTTATTTCAAATGAAAACAAGTGTGAACAATTATATGCAAAAGGTTATTTCAAATGAAAACACATATGGTAGGTAAACAAAGTCAACCATGAGTAGGAATGAATAATGTCCCTCATTAAATCTAGGTGTTCAAAAAGAAGTACTTGAATTAACATATATCCATGTCAAGAGGCATGAAATAGAAAATTCAGAGTCTGAAGTATACAGCTGTCATTATGAATCCTGCTACTCCTTTCATTATTGCAAAGCACACAGGGTATTTGTATTAATGTCAATTAATCAGAATTATTGTCATAATTTCATTAGCTGGTTACGAGTTAACAAATGTCTGGAGAGGGAAAATGTCTCCAAAGTTTAACATAAAGTCTCCTGTACTTGAAGCAGCAAATATAATTGTTTAAAGACCATAGATTTTGGACTCTGTGAACCAGCTTTCTTCTTTGTCAAATGGAGATATTAACACATAACACAAAATGTTGTAATACAAATTTAATAAGATAATCCTTGGAAAATATTTACCAGGGAACCTAGCTTAAGAAAATATTCCATAGCCATGGCTTATATTAACTAGTGACATCAGTTGTTATGGCACTTTATATGAGTTAAAATCATTATGTCTGAACCCAAGGAAAAGGAAACAGCATCCTTTGGGGTTTAAAATATATATCCCCTCCACATTATTCTCAATACCACTGAATAAAGGTTAATTCAGATAACCACTAGTTCTTTGACAAGGCTATTTCAGTTGTTACTCCGACTGGTCTTTCTGCTGTTACCTCAACCCATTAGAGCTGTGAGCTTATCACTACCTACTTAAAACACACACGAACAGATTACAAAAACAGAAAACAAGTAAGTAAACAAGACAACAACAACAAAAACTCTTCAATGTTCTAAAGAAAGACACCAGCAATTGGTACTAGACAACATCCACACCACCAACCATATTCCGCTTATTAAAACCAAGCTGATCTGGCCCTATGTCAATCAATGCTCATGAATGTCTCTCACCGCTGTCTCTCGTTCTCCCCACCCCATCTTTCCATTCCCACAATATATATGAGCTGATGTCTGGTGAGGGACCTGAGGAGAGAGAAGATTGGGTTAACAGCTTTACAGGGGGGCTTGATTCTTAGTGTTCTTCCCTCCCTTACCCAAAAGGCAGAATTCATAAAAGCTAGAGAAGCCAGAATAAAGCAAAAACTTGAATGTTGTTCCTCAACTGGTTGTTTGTTGAGCTAAAATCCTAAGGACTCCTCCTCCATCAGTAGTGTGGTAAGAAAGGTCTTAGGAGAACTAGACAGTGTACAGCTTGGTGATGTATTACGTAACTAAAGATATAGTAATGCCTGTTTTCTCTTCTGAAGTTTTCTAAAGCTGGGGGTGGGTTGCTGGAAAACAGTGAGGTGTTTGCTGCAGGCTGAGATGAGGATGGTGATATACTGTCATCACAGTACTAACAGGGCACAGAAGAGGACTTTAGTAGAAGACTCCAGGGTTCTCCATGGAAGAGCATAGAGGATGAACAAAGGCACACGTCATGCTACTCATGCAGCTCCTAGCCAATAGTGGTGACACCCCAAAGAAAAAATGGATAGGAAGCACAGATCAACAGACCTGCTACCCCTTTCTTAACAGGCCAAGGAAACCTGTTCAATACACAAGAAAATAACACATATACTATCTCCACGGTATCTCAGGGCAGACATACCTTTCTAAACCCACATCTGCACAGGAACAAAATTTGAGCTGCAGAAGCAAAAGAGTAGGCTGAACCCTTCTTACCTCTGGTCTCTAGAGCTGGGACTCCTGCCTAATGATGGAAGGGGAAGCAGTGAGATATGAACTGGATATGAGATTCAAGTTTCTAGCAGGTCTGAATTTTAATAACTGAAAGGACTGGAATGTGATGCAGTCTATTCAAGGTATTATTAAGAGATGGAAAACAGAGATTTAACAGAGCGCAATTAAAAGCAGAGTTTGGAGAAAATTAAAACCGGCCCATATATTATACTCTACTGAGATGAAACATCTCCAAAGTAGGTTTAAAAGATTGGGGTGAATTTTGGGTAAGGCTTATAATAAAACACCTGACTAGGCATTGTAGTTAGCTTTGCTCTCACCCATCTTGGCAGGCTTGTGGAGAAAAAGAAGAATTTGGATGCTGTTTTAAAGCAAGGAGAGGGAGAGTAACAGACATCCTTTGCAGCTCTGGGAAAGACTGAAGTCAAGGTCAAGGGGTCTGTGAATATTGTGTTAGGAACAAGTAGAAAAGTGAGTTGGTATAACCACCCTAGCAAAAGTGAGAATCACTCCACTTCAAAGAAAAGCCAGGTTCTCTGATATGACATGCTTTGGGCATGTGTTTACATCTGAGTAACAGTTAATTTCTCACTGCAAAAATAAAAAAAAATTGTATGTTCGTATGTTTATGTGATGTGTTTTAATAGTAGCTGATGGCTTTCCATGAAAAACTTTTGGATTAATTCTCTTGCTATACTACAGTGTTGATTATTTGAGGCTCTAAAACTCATGAATTTTAATGGTTACAATACCACTTTCATGAAAGGAACTTTATTCCATTTACATATATAATTATAGTTAAAATGAGCATATATGTTTGGTGTCTAAAGTTGCTTTTGTTCGGTGACAAATTGTTTATATTTTAATATCTTAAGATAATCTTAATATAAAGAATAAAAATACAAATTATATATAAAGAATAAAATATAAATATATATAAAATATTATATAAAATATATATAAATAAAAATACAAATTAGCTTCAAATATTCTCATACGGTCTCTACAGAAAACATTGTTTAGATTGTTGCTTAACATAGCTGCTTTCGAAGAGAGTCCTGCAATGAACACAGGAGTTGCCTCTAACTGGCGTCATTTCCTCTCATCACTAATCCAACGGTCAAAGAATGTCTTACTTTGAAAACCGACATCCGAAATCTCTAAAACTCCTATTCCTATATTTAAATCGATTGCTGGATATTATTCCCTCTTGCTAATTCCACTATTCTTTTTAGTTTTACCGATTACAATCACTTTTTCACGTTAGTTATTCCCCAGGCACATTTCAAAGGGTAACAAATGTTATGTTACTTTCATTGTCCCCATGACGCCAACACTTCTCAAGGCGTTTCCAGCTCAAAGAAAACAGATACAGTGTAGTTCTTCACAGTGAAGGTAGAATAGAAATGAATGTTATTAACCTCTGTAGAACTCGGTATGACTCAGCTTTCACACTGGTAGTTCCTCCTGTGAAACCCAACCGGTCTTCTGACAAACCCATGTACAGACCAGAGGTATCTGTCTCTCGATGCTACAATATAAAACTACATTTTCCTTATACACTAAGATCATGTATTATGACAATACGTTTTCATGAATAAAAATAGGTTTTATTAAGTATAACTGCTTTATTTCTGGCTTCATAGGCAGGCATACTGTGTCTTTCAGGATAATGAACATATAAAACTTCTCACAAGAGGAGAGTAATCCTATTATTAGATGATTTTCTATTCCCATTAATTGCATAATCACAAGGTCCACAATGACAGAAACTAAGGAATGTTTTCTGGGATGTTGATTCAAAAATGTAGACAGTTAATGAAAGCTACCTGTTACTATAATTGCCTTGACTTTCTTTTCAACCTCACAGACAAAGTTTCTAAAATCACTTGGACATCTGGTAAAATTAACATTGACATTCTCGGATTATAGGAATATGTATTCTGCATGGCTAGAAAGGTCTTAATTGGGATGACTGGGATAAAGTTGTGCTTAGTTCGTCTCTAGCTTATTGGGTCTACGTTTCCTCGCCTGCCCAACTGAGCTCACATTAACAGGAGAACAAAGAGACCTACAGACCATTTCAATGCTACTGAGTATCCTCAACAATTTTAAATGCATTTTTGTTAAGTTGCCTTGCTCCTCCAGTGTCTGAATATCTTTTGCAGGGTTTTTGTTTTGTTGTTTGTTCTTTTTACCTTGATAAGGACTATTCCGTGACAAAATTATGACACACAGTAATCAAAGCAAAACTACAGCTCACTTTCTTAATCATACTGGCAATAAAAGAAATACAATCTAAGCTATGTTTAGTGCAGAAAACGAGGTTAAAAATTAAGAAAATCAATTATGTCAACTTTTGGTTGAGGATCAGTACAAATAAATTTAAAAACAGAAAGTGTGAGACAAATATCGCGAGTCCGTTTTATTTTGCTTTAACACCATAATTGCTGTTTTCGATATTTACTTAACCTTTGTCTCCTTTGTATTGTTTCCTGACTTACCTGCAGTTGGAGTGGGCCTAAGCCTGGTGTTGCTGCGGCAGCAGCTGCCATGGTAGTTGGGATCAGCTGAACAGGGTAAGGGTCACCTAAGTAAGAGAATAATAGAGGCGTCAGCACCTTTTATCTACTCTCCACCTGCAAATTAAACTCATGCATTCACTCTTTCCAAAAGCCTTCTTTTGTGTGCCTTGCTGAGGCCTAATGAAAAGCTCTATTGTGCAGCCTTTTACTAACACTCTTTTCACAATTCTGGCTGAGAGAGGAATGTGAATAAAAGGCACAAGCAATTAAGGCGGAAACCTCATCCTTTTTTCATGATGTATTTAGGAAAATGGGAGGGAAAGTGAGCATTGATCAGAGGGCTGCACTTTATAACACACATGTGCTTGCACACACAGACACACACAATTTTCATATGAGCACAGTAACTCCTCAGTGAATTTACAGTATTGTGATCAAAGGAACTTAACCTACTTTTAACCAATTAAACTCCAAAGATTTAAACAAAGTAGCTTATCTTTTAAATGCTATGTTACTGTCTTGATTCAAATAATCTCTTAAATAATATCTTATAGACAAATTAACAATAAAGAAAATAGTTTATGTGTTTTTCAAGTTATATGACATATTGGCATCTTTATCATCCAGGAATAAATGATTACAAAACTATATCATAATGAAAGTGGAAAATAAATCGCTTCCCCCAAAAGTTTTTTATCTATTAAAAAACATAGTAATGCAAAATTAATCCTGAAGTTTTATTGTTATATGACCTATAAAAATATAGGAACACATGCAAACATACAGACAAGCACATAGAGAAGATTATTCTGCTTATTTTTGATGCAAATCAAGAGGCTTTTCTTAATTAGCAAAGAGGTACAATAGACCTGTTGCACAGGGTCCAATGATTTGCTGAAAAATATAACTAACAATGTACATTATTTATCAACTGACACATGACTATAGCAAATAACTGAAAATAATAGAGGTAAGAGCAATTTTGTAATACATAAAACATTTTGTAGAAATCTGATTTATAAAAATCTTGTTGAATCTTGCATGCATGAAAAATATAACTTAAAATAACTCAGTTAATATACTCATTCCAAAACATTTATTGAGTACCTGCTATGCATTAAGCACTCCTGTTGGCACTAGAAATAAAGCTTTGGAAAAGATTAATATGCAGATGTGAATTTACTGGGACTTTAATGAAGCTTAAACTTAGGGCTTTTGAAAATGGTCTCTTGCAGTATGTTCATTAGATTTTTATGTTTGTCATATATTTTTATATTTACCAGTTTTCTTAATTTGATGTGATTTCCTGTTATCAATGAATATTCACTTTTATACCCCAGTGTGTGTATTTGTTTGTGTGTGCATCTGGGCATATAAAATTTTTTGCACTTTTATTCTAAAGACAGCCTCCCAGCTTATTTTTTAGGCGTCTACTTCTGTAGATCTGGCCTTCCAATAACTTAGAGTTCAATAGGAGAAAAAGATAATTAAATGATTAGTATAAAATATAATGACAGTTAAGACAGGAAGAACATAATGATATGTACTACACTGTGGGTGTCCCAAACCTAGTCTGATAGCTCAAAGATAGCCTCCAGGAAAAAGTCATGTTTAAGCTGAAGCTTGAATTGAATTATAGTTAGCTAGACAAAGAAGGGAAGAAAGAGTGTTTCAGGCAGGGAAACAATTTTCATGAAGAATCAAATGGAAGTCTTAGTCATAGCCCAGTCGGTCACTGTACAGCTTAAGTGTAGAGAGGAGGTAGGGAAGTGAGATATATGGGGTTGGGGAGGGAGTCAGATGCTAGATTATGTATGCTTTTTGTAAATATTAAATAATCTAAACTTTATCCCATAGGATAAAGGAAGTCATGAAAATGGAAAACAGATGAGTTGTGTAAAATCACTTAAGTTGGAGGTTGAGAGTTGTAATGAACTAGTAAACAGATGCAGAAATCTGTATAAAAGGTAATAATGGTCTGGACTAGGGTGGTGACATGGGGATGGAGAATGAGACAGAGACTCAAGTGATATTTAAATGTTATATCCGGTAAAACTTAATGACTGTTACTAATGAGAGTAAGAGAAGGCTCAAGGATGACTTCCAAGTTTTTCACTAAACTGTCTGAGGAGTGGTAGTATGGACTGGTTTGTAAACACAGGCTAAAAGCCAGACTGCCAGGCGGGGCCTAAAGGGTGGTGTTGGGGAAAGGAACAAAGAGTTCTGTTTTAGATATTTTCAGTTTGAAATTACGATTAGATCTCCAAAGTTGAGGAATTTATTAGAGACATGATAAACACGTTAAAATTTTAGAGGAAAAGTCCTCATAGAAGATACATACTTGAGAGTGGTTAGCATGTATCTGGAATTTAAGCTGTCAACTTTGATGAGACCAGTTAGGAGTTAACCGTAGACAAAAAAAAAAAAGAGCTCCAAAAAAACTGGACTGTGGGGTGTACTAACATTTATAGTCAGGGAGATAGGTAACTAGCAGAAAAGACTGAGAAGAAATGTAAATTTGGTATTGCAGAAGCCAAGTAAAGAAAGACTTTCAGACAGTGACTGTTATTATTTATTTATTTTTTTTGAGTGCTGGATTTAATAATGTGGAGGTCACTAGTAACTGCAACAATGATGGTTTCAGTGGAATGGAGGGTGAGAAAGCCTAATCAGAGTGATCAACAGAGGATGATCAAAGAAAAGAACTGGAGGCAGGAAGTGTAGACCCTTGCTTTTCAATGCAATATTGTAGATGAGGAGCATTGGCATCACCTATGAGTTTCTTAGAAATGCACATTTTTAGAACCCACCCTAAAGCTACTGTGCAGGCAGCCCCTAAGATAGAACCTCCAATGACTCCCACTCCCTGGTATTTATACCCTATGTAATCCCCTCTCTTTTAGTGTGGCCTGAATCTGGTAATTGCCTTCTAATGCACAGAATATGGCTAACATAGTAAGATTTTACTTTTGAGATTAAGTTACAAAAGTATTTTGGCTGTCTTGCTCGCCCTTATCCTCTCTGTTGAAGCAAGGAGCTAGGTTGTGATCTGCCCTATAGAAAGACTCACGTAGCAAAGGACAGATATTTTTGGCCAATAGCAAGCAAAGAAATGAGACATGCCAACAGTTAATGACAAGAGTTTGGAACAAATTCTCCCCAGGTCAAGCCTAGAGATGACTGTATTCAAGGCCAATACCTTGACGGCAGTGGCAAAGATCCTGAGCCAGAGGTACCCAGCATGGCTGTGTCCAAGTACGTGTTTGTTGTTTTAAGCCACAACAAGTTTTGGGCTAATTTATTAAAGTATGAAACATAGCATCTGAATCAGAATTTAAGTTTTAACAAGAGTCCTAGATTATTTGTATGCATATTAGAGTTTGAGAAGTGCTAGAACAGAAAATTACACTGAGGTGTTTTACAGTAGCTAGTGAAACTTGTGTGATAAAGGAAACTTTATAAGAAAGTATATATGTGGAAAAAATTACACCGTGCTTGTATGCTAATGAGTAAGATTCAGAAAATAGAGACAAAAGCCTATGATACAGGAGAGAGAAGGGACAACTGATATTACATGATAGTGCTTTATCATTTCATATTTTTAGTATTTAATCTTCAAAATGTTATCCAATTTTATAAAAGGACGTTTAAATATTTAAAAGCTAAATTCATGCAAACTAGTTAAAATTGCAAATACTACTATAGTATGAACATTAGAATTGACAATTTAAATGCTTAAAACTACATAATTCATTTGTATTCCTAACTTAGAATACATAATCTTAAAATTAACAAAAGCAAAATTGTAGAGGCTGTGGTAGTCTTCACAGTGAAAATCCATTTTATATTATTTATTTTCACTGTTGTAAATGAACCAGTTAATAAGCACTTTAACATTTATCATGAACAGAATTCTGCTGGGTGCTATGTGAGACAAAACAAAACTTAGTCTGCATTTACTACATTTCTGTCTTTTCTAATTAAGTGCTTATTTGAGCAGTATTGACGATTATCAGTAGGCGCTACAGGAGGTAAGGGAGAAGTAATCCAGACTTCAATCTTAAGAGAATAGCTAAAGATGAAAATAATAGTGAGCTTGGCCTTGAAAATTTGCAGGTGAAGGGGAGGAAAGATCTTTTAGGTAGGCTGAAATGCATCAAAGAAGGAGTATGACATGCTAAAGGAATGTAGAGAAAAAACAATTTAAATAACAGATGGTAGAATAAAGTAGAGAGAGAAGAGATTGAAGACAGGAGTTGGGAAACCTTTTATACTCCAGTCTTGAGATCTGGGTATGAAAAGGCAATGGACAAGAAATGAAGTTTTAAGAAGTAACATTAAAGAGGTTAAGTATGGGAAGTATTAAAGATCACTTGGTTCTCCATCCTAGAGACAAAGACATATTCCTAAATTTGTTTAACTCTTAAATTTAACAAAACACCTGCAGATGCTTTGGATACTTTTACATTACTAGCATCTAATTATTAATATCAAATTATGTGTACATTTAAAGCTCATTACTTATAATACAGATTATTCCATAAAATTAAAAAATATGCATGTTAGAATCTTTTTATTTCCTAAATTAATGAATGTGTATTAATGAAATTAACATAAATTATCTTTCCTCTGGATATACGCATATATATATATAAATAGCTATTATGTTTTACTCATGCCATATTATATGTGTGTAAATACATGTATACACAGGAATATCTTGGAGATATTGTAGGTTTGGTTCCAACCACCATAATAAAGCAAGCATCACAATAAAGCAAGTTTTGTACACTGTTTTTGTTTCACAGTGCATATAAGTCATGTTTAGACAAAACCATAGTTCATTAAGTGTGCAACAGCATTATGTCTAAAAAAATAATATACATACCTTAATCAAAAAATACTCTATTGCTAAAAAATGCTATCATTTGAGCCTTTAGTGAGCTGTAATCTTTTCACTGGTTCAAGGTCTTGCTTGATGTTGGTGGCTGCTGACTGATCAGGATGGCGACTGTTGAAGGGATAAGGGTGGCTATGGGAAGGAGAATTCCTTTGTTTTCTTTTC